TTTAAAGCTAAATTAAAAAATACATATACATTTTTTTCACTGATTTGGTAAAAACTCATTATTTGGTTATTCTAAAGTATATTTCGATTCACTCGTAATCGCAAAATTAATAATAGCAGATATCTGTTTTTAAATACAATAACAACAAAAATTTTCAATTAATTTTACCAAACAAAGCAATTTTTTACAGTGTCGTTAAACACTTTACATCTTACACTATATCTTATAATAAAAGTGTATAAATAAATAAATATATGAATAATTGTTTAAAAACATATATATATATATATATATATCAGTTTTTAATTATTCCTAAAGTATGTATAAAATATCAAATATGAGTAATCGTCAAGTCAGTGATGATTTGTTCCAATCTTCTTACGTTGTTAACTATTATATAAATATTCAGTATTATTCTAGCTTGTTCGCTTGTGTCTGAAAAGTGTCGCTGTTAGAAAGAAATTAAATATGAATGTAACATTTTATACTTCCTCAGAGAATTCAAAACCATTGGATGTGTTTTGGCAAACAAAATCTGAGTTAGTTAGCTACGCTATCATATTACTTTTATTAATTATTTGGTTTCGCATCAAATGGAATCGTAGATTTATTGATAGATTTGCGGCTAAAATACCAGGGCCTCCATCATATCCATTAATTGGTTCAGGACTAGAATTTGTGGGAACATCACAAAGTAAGTGTAATATCAATAAACAGAGTGATTTTATTACCATAACCTACTTAATTAATTATTGAATAAAAAATATTTAAACATATTTTTTTTTGTTACTTTTAGTTACATATTATTCTTTAATTATTAGCTATCTAATAATAAAGTATAATATACGAATAAATGCTAATTATAGTAGTTAAATTTAGTATGTAATTGATATTCAATAATGATATTTCATTACTACCATGAAAAACGTGTATAAAAATTAAAGGGATTGATGGAATGCTTTTCAAAAAAAATTGTTTGTTACTTATGTTTAAACATACTGGTGTACAAAAAATTTTCAACAAACATTATATAATACTTTTCTAAACCCATTTTTCGCTGATTATAAATTTGCAATTAAATTTTTTTTATTTCCTCTTTTTTTAAATTATTTCTAATTATTAAAAAAAATGAGTATTTATATATAAAAATAATTAAAAACAAGAAAAAATTGTTATCAGATTATTATTAATTATGATTTTTAATGTCAAAAATAATTCGTGCAAAATGTCATTTTTGTGAAAATTTATAATAAAATTAGGTTGAACTTTTTACCATAAATTTTTTTTAGCTCAATATGCATCTTTGAAATTTATATTATTAATAGAAAATTTAAAAAATGGTATTTTTAAGATTGATATGTGCTCAGAATGTGTTACTATTTACAGTACATTTATGAGAATAACTCTAAAATTTCAATAAAATTCCCATTTTTTTTTTTCATTTTCATCATAATAAATCATTTAAATAGAAATCTTAACAATCATTTTTATGTAACTTTAAAATGAAATTTAACAACACATTAGTGGACGAAATCATAAATAATATTAGGACAGGTCTAACTAGACTATCGCCTGGCCTAATTATTTAGGATCTTTTTCGAATAATAATATTAAAACTTTACCAGACGGGGTACCACAAAAATAATATTACATAAATTATGATGACATTTGAATTATAAAAACCTATTATCATATTAAAACTAATTTCACAGTAAATATTTGAAAAATATTAGAAATTAATGATTTGATTAGTATACAAGGAGAAAATTAGTTAAGTAACTTTTTAATTGTTAAAGGTTAAATTTTATTCATTTTTGAGATTATAATCTTCAACTAGATACGAGTTGTAATCATTTGATGTATCGTTGAAAAAAATCGGTCAAGTGAGAGCTGAGAAAATATATGACAGCCACAAAAAAAACTAGATAGTAAAATAATTTTAATATGAATAAAAAATTCTTTCTCGCAAAGGGAGACTATAGTGATGAGGAAACACAGTGGTATTACCGACGTGACAACAGTACATCGTATATATTGATAGATAAAAAAGACAATTGATACTAGTTTCAAAATTCAGTCGTTTTTCTTAACTTGGGGTGACAAAATGTTGAAAATAAGTTTAACTTTATATTCAATGTAGGTTAGTTTCATGAAACGTTTATGAAAATCGGCGGTGGTCACATTATTTTGGCAAACCCTTGAAAAGTCATTGCCACGGGTTAGGTACAAACTTGGTGTCCCAAGCATGAAATATATTAGCATTATCGACGCGATGATCGTATATTGCGTTTGTCGATAGATAAAAAGGAAAATTTAAGGTAGTTAAAATTTTTCTCGGCTTAAAAAAAGAAAGTTTAACCTATTCAATGTAAGTTATATTAATATGGTTTTTTATAAAAATTAACTTTCATTACTATGATCACACCTTGTAAGGTATTTTAAAATAAAAAAATCGCCTAGTTATATATTTTTTAAAAAATAATAGCAGAGTAAAATTTCAATTGAAAAAAAAATGTGTACAAAACAATTTCATATAGAGATCATTTTTCGAGGAGGCGAAGTTATGGACCCCAACTATTTTTCATGACTTTGGAAAACGTACACAATTCAAAAAAATTATTTAAATACAAACATAGTATGTTTTTTAACTACGGCAGCCGATTGCACATAGAAGATAAACCGTTGGGACAAATTTTTTTTTTTTTAACTTATAATACATAACATAAGCTTTAATTTAACATATCTTTAAATGACACAGTATTTCCGGATTAAGGATAAATTATTCATTTTCTTAGAAATTAATGAGAATTTTTAATTTTCATAAAGAGAAAAATTGTTTAGTTTAATAAATTCTACAGTATTATAAAACTAAAACTTTTTTTTCAGACCTTCAGGGATCTTCAAGTCTTTAACATTAATTTCTTATATGAAAACCAATATTTTTAGTAGATAAAATTATAGCAGAAATTTTATAAATCGATATTTTTGGTAAAGATTTAATATTATCAAGTGAAAAGCTCAAAAAATTAGATGAAATAGAGATAGACAGATTTAATATTATTGAATAATAAGTGTAAAAACATACAGTATTTCTTGTATGGAATTTAAAAATATATCGAGAGATAGAAGAAAGAGGGGAACAAATGAAAGCAAGAAAGGGAGTGATATGGAACATAACGCCATATCAATGTGACGTTATGAGTTATAATAATTTGAATATATTTCGTGAGTATGTAGCACAAGCATTATAAAAATACACCATGCGAACTGTTCCCACAATCAATAATAATAAATTAAATAATAAATTGATATCACTAAAATGCAATTTATGTATATGTGTGAAATAATGTAGTTGCTTATAATTATTGTTTAAAATACACATGAACATATATATAATGTAAATACATATAAATTGATTTTTAGATGTTATGGAAAATTTTATTAAGTTAAATAATCAGTACGGTCCGGAACCATTTAAAATCTGGTTGGGTTCTTCACTCGCTTTAAATGTAACAAAGCCAGAAGATTTACAAGTACGTTTAGATGTTTTTAACATAATGCAATATTATTATCAATTAAATTCAACGTATTAAATTATTTTTTAAAGAAATAATTTATTATTTAAAAATTAATATGTAGATTATTTATAAATATTTAAATATCAGCTCAATATTTAGAAAAAAAATTTTACTTGTTTACATTAAGATTATTGACACTTTTCAAAACTATTCTTTAGTTACTAGTATAATTTATAGACCGACCTGTGTAACAGGTTGGGCAATTACTCGCAAAATAAAAATAATTACCAGAGTATTTGAGGGTTTATTTAGTTACATTAAATGGTGAGAAGTATACTAAAAAAAAATTTTCAAAATTAAAATATTATATTTTTTTGTAGATTATATTAAATAATTCTAACGCTTTTGACAGAGGTAAATTAGCTAAAATTATGAGTGCTGTTTTTGGAGAAGGATTGATTACTGCTTCTGGTGAGAAAAAATAATAATTATTTATATTATACTTAAATATCAATAAAAATAAAAATTAATAATATTTAATATTAACTTGATAATTTTACAGAAAATATTAATTTTATAAAAGTATATTATTTGCATCTCTATTATAAAAAAGTACAAATTTTTATTTTATTTTTTTAATACAATATAGACAGTGCACATGAATAAAATTTAACAGTTTATTCAGAATTTTTTTTTTATTCAATCATCAAAGGATTAATTGTATAGTGAAATATTTTAATAAAGAAATGAAATAGTTAATTTAAATATTGTTACTGCTTTTATATAATCTATGAATTTTTATCGTTGCTTTCAGTTCCTAAATGGAAAATACATCGACGAATTATCTCTCCTTTTTTTAACACTTCTTCCATAAATAAATGTTTGCCAATTTTCAATGAAAATAGTGCAAGTTTCATATTAAATCTTCAAAAAGAACTGCGAAATTCTGAGTCATTTAATATTTGGGATTATGTTAATTCTGTTTCTGTTAATTCAATATGTGGTAAGTGATAATGTTCAAAATAATATTTAATCGAATTATATATTTTATTATTGATATATATTGTGTTAAAGAATATTTTTAAAATTAAGTGGCAGATGCGATGAAGTGCATTTCTTGAAACAGATCTTTGCTAACACATAGTCAATTTGGTAACGATTAGTATCCCCTGGTGCTACCCATGTATAGCGTCTTCTTTTTGGTACTTCAAACATTGTGTTGGTTACTAAAAAATTGTTCTGCTTACAAAAATTGACTAATCTTTCACCTCGGATGTTCTTGTTCTTAATCCATATTTGCCTACTATTTGATTTTCATGTCCTTCTCCTACTACCGCATTGAAATCGCCCATAATAATTACGTTATCGCTATCTCGAGTTATTCCTAGCAGTTCATCTAGAGAATCATACACTTGTTCGATTTCGTCGTCTTCACTATTCGAGGTTGGAAAGTATACCTGGATGACTATCATGTTTACTGTGGATGTCTTCAATTTTATTAGTAATATTCTATCATTCACATGATAGGTATTTTCTTCTTACAGTCCCCATTCTTTGTTTGATAGTATTCCAACACCGGTTTTCCCTTGTTTATCTCCACTATGTATCATTCGAAAATTATCACTCCAGAAATCTCCGTTGTCACCCCATCTAGTTTCACACACTCCTAAAATATCAAGCTGTTTAAGTGTCATTTGTTGTTTAAGTTCTTCAAATCTTCCTGGTCTTAACAACGTTCCACGTTCCTATTTTAGTTGGAATAGTTTTGTTTTTTATTTTATTTTCAATGTTTTGTTTTTTGCTTTGGCATGGATTTCGCTGACTGACGACCTGGGAAACCATGCTCTGTCCCCTCCCTGCCGGACTCCGGGTTCCGAATCCTATCGTCTCGTTTTATATCATTCCTATGGTTGACATTCATTGCTTGATGTTTGGGAAAATTAATGCAATGGTTTCCTGTTGCCTTCTGCATCGTATGACATCTCTTATTACTAAGGGATGCTATTCAAGTATAGATAAATCTATACTTGATACTAACAATGTTGCTGCCCATTGTTAGGTCCATTTTGGTTGATTTTACGACGGGCATGGACTGCCGTGGGTGTATTCTGGCCCCAACCTACATGGGAAAACTTTTATAGATGTCTAATTTAATGCTTATGTAATATACTTAAATTTGAAAAATAAAAATTGTCCCGGGGAATTACCTTCATGGTGAAAACGACTACCATATTCAAAAACATTACATTTTAGCTTCGATGCGGAGAAGGTATTAATTTTACTATGATGTGATTATTTATTTTTTTTTTTTTTTGTGTCTGTCACTACTTTTTCTCAGCTTTCACAGGACCGATTTTTTTCAAAAATACATCAAAAGATCACAAATCGTATCTAGTTGGAGACATTACCCTTAAAAATTGAAAAAAATTCCCTCGTTCCCCACAAATGGGGGAAATATGCAAAAAAATTACAAATTTAAAAATTGCTAATTTTCGAAATTTTTTCACTTTTTTTTCTTAAAACTTTTTGAAAAATCAATAAATCAACATAATTTTTTTTTAAACTAAAACCTTAGATATCTACCTTTCATTTTATATCATTTTTTTGAAAATCTATCACTTAACCTGCTCATTACGGGGGATTTAAAATAGTAACTTTTTTACAAAAATTAACTTTTTCAACTTAATTTTTGAAAATGTTCCGGAAATACTGTGTCCTTCAAACATATATCAAATTAAATTTTATTTTATGTACTATAAAATGAAAAAAAAAAATTTGTCCCGACACTTTTTCTTCTACATTTAAACCGTAGTTAAAAAACACTATTTTTGTGTTAAAATTTTCGATTTTCGATTTTAAATTTTCAACTTAAAAATGCTCTAACTTTTTGAAAAATGTATATATCAGCACAAATTTTTTTTTTTCTAAATACATTATAAGTGCATATTTCATTGGACATACTTTTTATTAAAATTGGACAATTTCCCCTTATATAGGGGGCGTTCAAAACTTGAAATATTGTAAAAAACATAGATCTTTTTCAACTGAACTTTTGAAAATGTTCCGGAAATACTGCGTCCTTTAAACATATATCAAGTTAAAGCTTATTTTATGTACTATAAAATAAAATAAATGCGCAAATGGATACCGTATTCAAAAATATGCTATTTTAACAAATTTTTTTTTTTTAATTAAACACTATCTACAGATTTGCATCGAAGCGTTTTTTATGATAGTGATTTTAATCACTGTCAGATAAAATCTATACTGGACCCTACTATGCAATGTCTCCACTATGCCGCGACCCCACTGTGCTACCGTTTNCACGACCCCACTGTGCCGCCACCCTACTGTGCTGGGTTTTTTTTATTATATAAATTAATAAAAATAAACATTAAAAGACCAAAAAAATAGGTTAAAAATGACCAGCCGGACTCCGGGTTCCGAATCCCATCGTCTCGTTTTATATCATTCCTATGGTTCACATTCATTGCTTGATGTCTGGGAAAATTAATGCAATGGTTTCCCGTTGCCTTCTGCATTGCAATGACATCTCTTATTACTAAGGGATGCTATTCAAGTATAGATAAATCTATACTTGATACTAACAATGTTGCTGCTCATTGTTAGGTCCATTTTGGTAGATTTTACGACGGGCATGGACTGCCGTTGGAGTATTCTGGTCCCCACCCACAGGGGAAAACTTTTATAGATGTCTAATTTAATGCTTATGTAATATACTTTAATTTGAAAAATAAAAATTGTTCTGGGGAATTACCTTCATGGTGAAAACGACTACCATATTCAAGAACATTACATTTTTTTTTTAATTCTTAATTTTATATGGTCAGTTTTATATTGTTATAACTTTTTGAAAAAAATTTGGATCAATAAAATTTTTTTATAAAGACTTTATACAAATCCCTTTCGCCCGTCATACTTTTTTCGATAATCTTATGCAAAAAATAATAGTGATTTCAATAAAATGTTGAGCTATTTTCACAAATTTACTGTAAATAATAATTATAACATTTTCTGACCACATAAATTTTAACAATGCCATATTTTCAATTGTCTATTTAGTAATGTCAGTTTCAAAGTTGCATATTGTGCTAAAAAAAAATTATAATCAAAAGGTTGAACCTTTTTTTATTATAAAATTTAATAAAAATAAACTTTAAAAGATCAAAAAAATAGGTTAAAAATGATATTTTTACTGATTTTTTTAAATATATTAAAAATTAAAGTCAATAATAAATTGAAAAATTAATTTTTTTTGTTTTTAATTTTTTATTTAATATTATATTTTCAATTTTTATAGTCGCCTGCCATAAAAGAAACGACTACTGTATAATTTTTCAAATTATTAATAATTTTGATTTTTAATATGATAAATATGATAATAGTTTGTGCAAAATTTCGATTCAAAATGTATTTTTTAACCTAACTTTTTGGTCATTTAAGGTTGATTTTTACAAAAATTTATAATAAAATATTATTCTATTTTATGACTTTTTAGTTCGACATTGACAAGTTTGAAATTTATATCGTTAAATTAAAAATTTTATATGGATTTAAAAAGTCGTATTGTTTAGACTGATATGTTTTCAGAAGCTTATATAATTACTATTAACAGAAAAGTTATGAGAAAAGATCAAAATTTCGTTAAAATCACTATTTTTTTGTAATATTATCGAAATAAATAATTTCTAAAGAAACTATAGTAATCATTTCTATGTAACTCTTTGTATTTAAATAAAAGTATTTAACTAGTATTTTAAATACTTTCAAAAAATGTGGATTTTTAAATATATTATTTACAGAAGCAGCACTGGGATATCATCGTGACGAGGAAGATGATGACAAATCTGAATTTTTTTATTTAGTGACAAAGTAAAATAATAATTTACTTCTATACAATATATTATTATTATACTTACAGTAATTTAAATGATGACGTAATAGTAAACAGAATTTTTAGGGAAATCTCAAATTTTGACTTTTAAAACAATATAGCAACTTCTTAATAATCTCAAAATAATCCGAATAATATCACTGTTCATTTTTACTACAAATAAAAGTTAATATCTTCTCAGAATTTAGAGAATTCGAAAGATTTGTTTTATCTGAGGTTTAAAATAATCGCTTCAGAGAGTTAAAATTTAACCCATATAATTTTAATTGAGTTAATAAAATAAATTTTATATTCAACTTTTAATCAATGAACATTTTTTAAGAATTACAGAGCGAGTTAATGCCAGACTAAATAAGCCATGGTTGTATCCTGATTTTATTTTTAGTATTTATGGAAAAATTACAGGCTTGAATCAAATGTATGAAAATTTATATAAATTTCCAAACAAAGTGAGTTTTATAACTTTTGATTAAAAAAAATAAAGCCCGCATTAGGGGAACGTGGCACCACTGTACCACGTTTATATAACATTTTTTAGCTTCGATGCGAAGCTGAGAAGGTATTAATTTTACTATGATGTGTTTTTTTATTTTTTTTTTTGTGTCTGTGAACGCTCAATCTCAGCTCTCGCTGGACCGATTTTGATGAACAATATGTCAAAAGATCACAAATCGTATCTAGTCGAAGACATTACCCTCAAAAATTAAAAAAAATTCCCTCGTTCCCCGTAAACGGGGGAAATATGCAAAAAAATTACAAATTTAAAAATCGCTAATTTTCGATATTTTTTCAATTTTTTTTACTTAAAATTGCCATAACTTTTTTAAAAATGATCGAATCAATATAATTTTTTTTTTTATAGATACCTTAAATAATTACCTATCATTTTATATATTTTTGTGAACATTTGACCCTTTAGCAGCCCACAGGAAGGGTTTCAAAATGGTAGTTTTTTTACAAAAAATTAACTTTTTCAACTTAACTTTTGAAAATGTTCCGGAAAGACTGACACTTTTATATATATCTTAAATTAAAGCTTATGTAATATACTTTAATTTGAAAAAAAAAAATTTGACCTCTGGACTTGTCTTCATGGTGAAAATGACTACCGTATGCAAAAATATGCTATTTTTGTGAAAAAATTCTTGATATTATATTTTACATTTTTTAACATTATGTTGCTATAACTTTTTAAAAAATGCATGAATCAACTTTATTCTTTAATGATAAATACTTTATATATACTTCTTTCATTCGACATACTTTTTTTTAAAATCGGACCATTTCCCTTTATACAGGGGGGGTGCAAACCTTTTAAAATGCGTATAGAAAGTAGAACTTTTTCAACTTAACTTTTGAAAATGTTCCGGAAAGACTGACACTTTTATATATATCTTAAATTAAAGCTTATGTAATATACTTTAATTTGAAAAAAAAAAATTTGACCTCTGGACTTGTCTTCGTGGTGAAAACGGACATCAAAGTTAAAGAAAAACGTACGATTTCCGTGAAAAAAATCTCGATTTTATATGTTATATTATTTAATTTATATTTTATATAACTTTTGGAAAAATGTATGGATCAATATTATTATTTTTTTATAATAAATATTTATATACCCCTTTCATCTGGCACGCTTTTTTTGTAAATCGGATCATACCCCTTTAACAAGGGGGGTCAAAACTTTAAACATGCGTATTGTTACTACGATATTTTCAATTTAATTTTTGAAAGTATTCCGGAAATACTGACACTTTTAAATATATCTTAAATTAAAGCTTATGTAATATACTTTAATGTGAAAAAAAAAAATTTGACCTCTGGATTTGTCTTCATGGTAAAAATGACTACCGTATGCAAAAATATGCTATTTTTGTGTTAAAATTCTGGGTTTTGTATTTTATTTTATTTTAAAATACCTGACAAGGGGAGTACAGATTTTCATAAATATTATATAAATTAAAATTGATATAGTATAGATAGTTAAACTTATTTAAATATGTTTGTTTCTTTTAAGTCGAGAAAAATAACTTTGAAATTTGAACTAGCTTAAATAGCCAATTTTTCAACCGCCGGAAGCAACGTACGGTTGCCGAGTTGGTAAAATTTATGTTTTACACGCTTGGGGTACGAGGTTCCAACCCGCATATGGCAATGAATTTTTTGCATTTTTTCTTAATTCTTTTTAAGTTAGTATAAATTTTAACTCGTTTGATTTTTATCACATTTAGATTCAATAACTTCAATAAAGATCAAGGATCCCATCACTTTAGTCGCCCCTTGCAAGAAGAAATTTCTTATTCGTATTAAAATTATTTTACTATATTTTAAGTTTTCGCTTCGATGCAAAGCCGAGAAGATATTTTTTTGTGACTATCATTTATTTTCTCTGCTCTAACTTGACCTACTTTTTTCAACAATACGTCAAATTACTACAATTCGTATCTAGTTGAAGATATTACTCTCAAAAATTGAAAAAAAAATTCTAATTTATCAATTAAACAGTTAGTTATTACATCGTCTCCATAAAGACAATTAAAATCATTAATTTCTAATGTTTTCAAAATATTTATTAACGAATGAAGTTTGATATGATAGGTTTCAACTACAAAATTAAATCATTTTACTTTGTAATTTAATAATTTTATTACTCTGTTTGTGTGTGCTACTATTAGACTATAATATTCAAATTTTTTTCTAACGTGTTGCTATATAAATCATTTCTAAAAAAAATGATTGTTTTTTCTCCTGAATTAACAATTGATTTTTACAAATATAATCAAATTTTATAATAAACTCAATTGAGTAAATCTTTTTAACAACTTTGTTTTGATTGGTACATTTAGTTAAAGTAAATCATTAAAATTAATTAAGTTCTCAATATTTCAATTATAGAATCTTTTCAACAAACAACAAAAGTTCCTAGGAAATTATTACTATTACTTCTATTTAAGTTATCTATTACCATAAAAATGCAAAAAAATATTGAGCTTTTCTGATAAATTTACAATAAATAGTAATTATAAAACTTTCTGACTGCATATTGATCTTAACGATACAATTTTTTTAATTGTCATAAAATTTTCTATTTAATTATGTCAATGTCAAACTTACCAATTGAGCTAAAAGTTATGGTAAAATAAATTTTTTTTTTTTTTTATAAACATTTACAACAATCAACTTTAAACGATTAACAAAATTGGTTAAATATGTCATTTTCCTTATTTTTAACTTATTAATAATCAAATTAATATTAAATATTATATCAAATCAGTATTAATTTAAAACAATTTTTTTTGTTCTTAATTATTTTTTTTTATATGTAAAAACTATTTTTTAATAATATTAAAACTTAGAAGTTATAGAAAAAGTCTAATTGCACATTTTAAAACATCGCGAAAAGTTGATTTAGAATAGTATATTTTTGTTTCTGATGGAAGTTCCTTGTAGTCCAGTGTATAAAACTTATAACTTTGTTAATTGTTATAACTTTATCAAAAATGACCAAATCAGTATATTTTTTTTTATTTAGATGCATGTCTTTATCTATCATTTGGTTTTTTTTATAAATCTAACCCTTTACCTGCCCACAAGAGGGATTCAAAATATTAACTTTTTTTTTTTTAGTTAAAGTAAATCATTAAAATTAATTCAGTTCTGGATATTTCAATAGTAGAATCTTTTTAAATATCAAAAATTACTTAGAAATGATTACTATGATTTCTATTTAAGTGTTCTATTACGATAAAAATGCAAAAAATAATGAGTTTTTCTGATAAATTTACAATAAATAATAATTATAAAACTTTCTGACTGCATATTAATCTTAAAAATAACATTGTTTTAATTCTCATAAAATTTTCTATTTAATGATTCATTCTAGTCAACGAAGGAGTAATTTTGCAGAATAGCAGAAAAAATTCCCAACAAACTTTTTTTTTTTTTGTTTTAATTAGGCAATTGGTGGATTATTCCAAAAGCAACATCAACTCTTATTTCTTTAATTATATCATGATTAGTAGTTCTTTGATTTTAAAATATAATATTTGAATATATACTAATTATAATTATTAAATTTAGTATGAAATTGATATTTAATATTGTAATTTAAACGGAGAAATTATAAAAATAATAAAGAAGTTATATTTTGCTTTACTTTTACGTGTATAAAAATTTAAAGGGCTTGATACAATAATTTTCAATAAAAACTGTTTGTTACTATAAAAAAATGCACTGGACTACAAGGAACTTTCATCAGAAGCAAAAATATACTTTTCTAAATCAACTTTTCGCGTTGTTTTCAAATCTGCAAGTAGACTATTTCTATCACTTCTAATTTTTTATATTATTACTAATTATATATATAAAATAATAATTAAAAGAAAAAAAAATTTGTTTTCAAATTATTACTGATTTGATTTTTAATATGTTAAAAATAATCAGTCCAAATTTTCAATTTTAACCTATTTTTTTGGTTCTTTAAAGTTGATGAAAAATTTTTGATAAAGATTTATGAAAGTTTATAGTAAAATAAATTGAATATATTACCATAACTTTTAGCTCAATTACAAGTTTAAAATTGACATCAGGCCAGTCAATAAAGGAAAAATTGTTGAAAAAATTTTCAAACAAATTTTGTTTTTTTAAAAGTTGAATTAAAATATGTATAATGACATACTAATAGTCCTCAAGATTGGAATTGAGCTTTTTTTTTTACAGCCTCGCAAAAGTTCAAAAATATGAGCTTTATTAATTTTTTCAAAACATATTTAACTTCCAAAAAAAAGTTTCGTACAAAAGTTGTTTAAAAGACAATTATAAACAAAAAAATTATTTTATATTTTTTCATTTAAACAAATATTTTTCGAGTTACATTACATTTAATATGAGTACTAAAATTTATATTCCATTTTTTTCATTTTACGGTTACTTTTTATCATGTTATACTTACATTAGACACAATGTTATAAATGCATATGTGTGTATGTGTGAGTTTATTTATTTAATGTATCATTAAAGTGTAGTGTATATTAAAATACAAGCGATAGAGTAGGTAATAGATTTGACACTATATTGTTTAAACCCAACTAAACGCTGAATTGTACATTCCCAAACAACAATCATATTATGTCAATTGTCACCGGAATTTCTAGTAATCTTTTTCTTTTTCTTTGCCTTAATCCCAACTACTTGGGGTCGGCCACCCTTATCCTAAGATTCCGCTTGACACGATCTCCCACATCTTCTACGCTCACATCAGCTGTCCTCAAATCGCATTCAATAGCATCCCTCCATCTCTTTTTTGGTCTTCCTCTATCTCTTCTTCCTTCAACATTCATTTCTATAACTGTTCTTACAGCTTTCGATTCTTCTTTCCTCATACCATGACTAAACAATCTAAGTCTATTTTCTGTCATCTTATCCACGATTGACGCAACACCTATACTTCCTCTTATATGCTCGTTCCTTATCCTATCTTCTCTAGTCACTCCACTCATCCAACTAAGCATTCTCATCTCTGCTACACTTATTCTCTGCTCTACTTTCTTATCAACCGCCCAACACTATGAACCATACATCATAGCTGACCTCACAATTTCATACTAAATTTAAAAACTATAATTAGTATTTATTCATATATTATATTTTAAAATCAAAGAACTACTAATCAGGATATAATTAAAGAAATAAGAGTTGATGTTGCTTTTAAAATATTTCACCAATTTCTCTAAAGGAAACACTATCTACAGATTTGCATCGAAGCGTTTCTTATGATAGTGATTTTAATCATTGTCAGATATCATCTATACTTGTCCCATCTATGCCTCGTCCACACTGTGCCTCGACCCCACTGTGCTACTGTTTTTTAATATATATTTTTAATAATAAAAAACCCAGAATAATTTTAAATTGATATTCATTCATTTAGAAATTTATACAGAAAAATGATACAAATTTTAAAATATTTTATATTTTGTTACCTCTATGGCAAACGTGTATCAATTAATAACTGAATAAAATGTCAATTGTTACAAACAATGAGAACAATAGAAACATGTTTCCTTATTTACTGAACAATAAAAATATATACTACCGTCAAACATTACATAATTTCAAACGAAATAAAACAAAAATCAACAAATAAAACATAACTTAAATACGGAATAAAAAAAAATAACAAGAAATAAGCAGAAAACGGTAAATATAATGCTGCTTCATTATAACTCATAACATACGTTAAAATTTTGGTATGTATAAATACGAGTAAGCCAGTGTAAATCAGTATTTCTTAAAATAGTAACTATGTAAGGGAAATTCTCATAGCCGAAAAATTACAGGTTAATTACTAATAAGGTAAAAAAATTATCAATAACATTTATCGCAAATTTTAAAACATAAAAAATTGATGTTGTTTAAGTATCGCAAACGAAAAACAAAACTCCATAACGTTTAAATTATTTAAAATGTAAACGCAATAATATTGTTAACGTTTTAACTTTCATAACATAAAAATAAAATGTGTAATTTTGATTCAAGCCCTGATTAGTATATCGTGTATACAACTCACATAAAAATGGGTACATACTTTACTAATAACGCTATACTTATTAGATAATTAAAGAAAGAAAAAGCCAGTATGCTCAAAGGAAGAAAACCAACCACAGTTCTTTAAACTTAACCAACAATGAAGGTAATGTTCTAGTTAATTTATATTTAATTTATTTATGAAAAAAATGTTGATGACCATTGTAGAAAAACAAAAACCAGTATTTTTGGAATTATTGTTGGAGTTAAATGATGAAGGAGCCTATTTTTTAAACAATGATTTAAGAGATGAAGTTTTAACTATGATGATTGCAGTAAAATAATATTATTAATATCTTTATATATTGTTTAAAAACCCAATTAATGTAATAAAATTATTTTTTTAATAGGGCAGTGAGACTATTTCTATAACCATTTGTTTCTGTATTTTAATGTTAGCTATCCATCAGGACATTCAGGTAATTATATTACCCGTATAAAACTATACGTCATATAGTTATAAGTGATTTTCTAAGTAATCATCATATATTTTATCATATTTAAAATGTAATTTCATATTTACAGGACAAAGTTTATGATGAAATCTACCAAGTAATGGGAGAAAGTGATCGAAAAGTAAGAATTGAAGATACGGTTAAGTTTGTATATTTGGAACAATGTATCAAGGAAACTATTCGAATGTATCCCGTAGCGCCAGTGATAATGAGATATCTTCAAGATGATGTCAAAATGAGTAATTTTTCCGAGTATATCATTTATAAAACCTGCTTAAACTCGTGTTTTTTATTTTTAAGGTAACTACACAATTCCAAAAGATACTACTATTTTTATACCAATAATAGTCACTCATCATCTACCAGAATTATATCCAAATCCCTGGGAGTACAACCCAGATAATTTTGATCCAGAAAATGTTGCAAAACGACACAAGTATAGTTTTATTGCGTTTAGTGGTGGACCTAGGAATTGTATAGGTAACATGTAAAAAATTAATATCATCATAGAATAAATATAATCATTTCGACATTTTTAATAATTTAGGGGAAAAGTATGCAATGCTATTAATGAAAGTTTTGCTATCTACATTTTTACGTAACTATAGTGTACATACTAAATGCAAAATGACTGATATAAAGTTAAAATTCGAATTATCGTTAAAAAACGCTGACGGATATCAAGTGACAATACGTTCTAGAAACACGAAATCGACATACAAAGTTTAATTGATTTTAAAAAAAAAGTTTCAATTTCAAATTTTCGTTTTTTTTCAATTATGGTCTATAAAAATGTATGTATGAGTAATAATTCATTATTTAGTAATCATTTAACTATAAGTTATTTTAACACATAGAATTGGTATGTAACGTCATTGGAGTATTTTGACTATTTTGAAATTTAATAAAAATACAATTTTTTTTTTTATTAAAAATAATTAAAATTAATTTTACTATTATGTATTTTTTTTTTTTT